ATATTTGGGAAAAGCTTCCACTTTTACAAAGAAACAAACATACAAAACAGTCGGGTCTTGGTAGAAGACTACTTTTTATACTAGTAGAAAATATAGGATTTTCTAGGAGTTTTTCAAACATATACAAACATTTACAAACATTTTCATCAAACTTATACAAACATTGACACTAAATACTTATGAACTCACCAGCTTAAATGCTGATCAACTCTTTCAAAATAACTTGTATTCTCAGGTCATCAGTAGACAAGTACAGTCGACCAGGTTTTGAGAAGACGGATCATGTTCAAGACTCGTCTTTTATTTTGATTCATTTTTGGTGTCTTATTACTATGAAAGAACACACATGTATTAAACTATACTATTAATGCAATGGATGATGTTGTTGCTTATTTACTACTTTGCATTGTTATGATACTGTACATGACGTCCTCCGCCCCAGAACGTTTCCGTCGTTCCTGGTTTTGGGGTGTGACAATATATGAATAACAAATTAACTGTAACAAAAATCTGATAAATGTTTTATTCATATATGGATATAAAATATGACGACAACTAATACACATTTTATTCATATATAAATATAATATATGACGAAAGATGATGTAAAAAATATATTTTAAGTAAGAAAACTTTACTACATGTCATATTCATATATGAACGACACTTAAACTATTAAAAAAGAAAAATTAAACATACGTTTTATTCATAAGTGAATAACGAATGTACTGTAATAAAAATCTATCAGATTTTTATTCACTTATGAATAACGAGAGCTGAAACTCTAAAAAAAACAAATTTTTTATTTTATCTTAAAACTATATCAATATGGATGTCTATTTATAGAGAATAAAAAATTATGACTTTTGATATATTTAAAATAATTTTTCGATAAAAATGGCTTTCTAAAAAAAGTATGTTTTTGTGTATATTAAGGTAATGATTAACATAGTTTAAGGAAACATGTTTGGTTGGAAAACACATGTTTATCCGTTATCCATTTCCGTCGGTACGCCTAAGTGTTTTGCGGCAAAATAAATGTGTGGCTGAGAATGATTCCCCTATTCTCAACATTTTTTTTTCTCAATTGAACCCTCTCTCTCTCTCTCTCTCTCTATATATATATATATATATATATATATATAT